GGCTGGTATTAAAAAAAAAAAAAATGGAAAAAAAATTTCATCCTCCTCCGCGGGCAGAGAAACCCATGAGTTCGGGAGCGATATCGCATCCTCCCCACCCCCAGGAGCGGGCAGCAATATTTACACGTTTCTCACTCGTGAACTATTTAATTAAGGCAAGGCAATCCCAGAACAAGCCCTCTTCTGAGCCTGCAGGAAATTACCCAGCGCTTATAGGAAGGGGAAAGCAGGCTGGTGAGATGCCAGCATTCAAAGGCTGGCGGCAGGAAAGGATTAAAACACTAGATTACAGGATTCCCTCTGGGGACAGATGTTACTGTGATAACTCATTCCCTGACCATCAGCCAATCTCCCTGCCCTGCGAGTTTAAAGCACGCCGATCGCTAGCTCAGTCCTGCTCTCAGCACACTAATAAGACAGACCAGTTGGCTGCTGAGGGAGGGAGGAAAGTATTTGCCAGCAAGCACAGCAAAGAAACCTCCAAAACCAGATCAAAACCAGGGGGGGCGAGAGAAGTCTTAATATGAAACATACAGGCCTGGAAGAATCTCCTTCCTTCAACTAAATCTAAGCTTCCTCTGTTTGGGATTCACAATTTCATAGGGTGAAAATTAGAGGGGTTTTGTTTAATGAAGAACAAACAAGCAGGCATGTTTACTGTTACATTCATATATACGCTATCACACAACAGCAGCAGATAGGTGAAGCAGAGGGTGCTTATCATGCAGCATTAGAAGGGAAATAAATGATAAAAAATTGTTGCAGAAGCACACAATAAAGCAATACACGTGCTTTAGATAGGGTGCTGTTTGTTGGTTTTATTTTTTCCCCTTGCGTTCCCCCTCTCGAGGGTACATGGGGACGTCTTGGAAGGCTCTCCACATCCCCACCCACATTTTTGCTTTTTCCTATTTCTGAATCCTTCCTCCTCATGTGCCTGAACCATCTCTCGGGTCCCCCAGCACCCTGATTTACGCCTATGGGAACTGACCGAATGGTTTTTGGGGCAGCTGAAGGCCAGGTATAGAACTGCAGAGGGGAGGATCATTCGTACTCACCGGTCTGTAGGGTCTGCCTCCCCCCTGAGAGCACTCCCAGGGGCAGTGTACCTGTGGGAGTCAGGCCTTTGAGAGTCAGCACGCTCTCGCTCTCCTCTCTGCAAAAAAGAAGCAACACAACCGGTTACCGAGAGATGAAGTGCAATGGTCATGTAGGTCCACGCAAGACTTGTTAGCGGTGAGCGGCATGAAAATGGGAGTCTGCTCTGTGCTGGCCACGTGCAGCATGCGTCCGATCAGCTTGGCACCGAGCACAACCCTGCCTCGTAAATACAGGATCCCTGCTTACTCAGTCACCATGCATCAGAGCTACGGCACAGCGAATCCATCCCGAAAGGGCTAAATCTACCTTAGCAGCAGCGTTTCTGTTGGCAAAGGTGCCAGTGCTCGAGATGAAGGTCGCTGAGAGAGTCAGACCGCTGGGCAGACAGAAACCACCACCCCAAGCCTTTGCCATCTGCTCTGAAGCAAAAGTCTCCTAAGATTTCCTCCTCGTCCCCCTGGCCCCCAACAGGACTCTTCCTGCCTGGTGCACCCTGATCAACGTCCCCCGTTACTCAGACCACCCCCAATGAAACCCGGACCCCAAATCACAAGCTGCTTCCTTACCGAAGAACCGAGAAGACACGTGCCATCTTCCCAATGGCTCTGATCTTATTCCTGATGATCTCTTTACGGACTGTTGTCCCACCTTAGGGAGAGAAAAAACAAACACCAGCATGTTTAAGGTTTCCTGCTTTCCTGGCACAGGTAATGTCAATATGAAGCACCTGCCTGACTCCAGGAAAAGAAATCATGGTTTACAGATTCACAGCTACACTCTTGAGAGAACAGTGCTGAGAGGATGGCGGTCAGGATGGTAGTGAGAAGGGCAACAGCAACGAGATGACACACGGACTTAAAGGTCTAAAGAGAATAGAACCACCAAAGGAAACGGATCGGGTAGGTCTTGTTCGAAGCTCACCAGGTTCGATCACACTACACAGGATGTAACACAAATGACTCAGCCATGTAGACACAGTTTTGCAAGGCAGAACACTGACGAATCTGACTGCTGATGAACACTGCAGAACACCGGGCTGTGCTCGCCGCGGGGAGGAGTGTCACGCAAGCATCAGCTTTGGCATCCAACGCGCACAGTGAACGGCTGGCCGGAGCCTTGCAACTCTGCTTTGACCCCACACAAACACAAAGTGAGATATGTGAACTCCCCTTCCGCTATACAGACCAAACAGGAGAGAAAAGCATGGAGGGTAACTGAAAACAAACAAAAAATCCAAGTAAAAGAGGTAACAAATACATCTCCTCTCAGCTGAGATTCCTCACATGGCCCAACTACACATTAGGACAGTACAAGCCAAACCGGAGGTCTAACATGCACCGATGGCTCAGCCATGCACTAAGTGGCTGCATTCAGAAGTCAGATAGAAACGTGACCCCGTTTCTCAAGTTCCTGGAGGAACGCAGAAGGGTTAAAAAACACACGGCGCTTATGTTAAAACTGAAAGGGGATGAAGAGACTGCCCAACTAGTCAGCTATTCAAATCCACTCCAAGGAATCTGGTGGCACAGGCAGTGAAAATTAAGCTTGTAGCAAATTCTAGCTGGGTACCTTTCTGATAGCTTGAAATGTAGTGATCTTCAGGGAGAGGAGACACCAAGAAACAAGTAGATGAAGACAGAGATAGAAGAAACAAATTTAATTTTCATGGGAGGGAGAAAGAAAAAAAAAACCAAACCGAAACCAAAAACGAAATGCAATGGGAGAAGCGGGTTAAAGTCTCAACCTGTTGACCGAAGCAGCGGCACCTCGTTGTACCACGACGGTGTCCTGCTTCTCTGCGGGACTGGCTGTCCTCCACCCTACACCGATCTGCACAGGCAGCTCCCCCGGACCCCCCCGTGCATGCTCACGGCCCCGCTTCTCGCTGCACGCCCCACGTCTGTGCCTGAGCTTCCTCTGGGTCACCACCTCACCCTCGAGAGACCCCTCTCCATACAGGGAGCAGCAACGGGTTTGTCCCTTTCATGCATAGCTTAAAACCAGGGCCAAAAACTGCATTCTGCCTTTTTTTGGGGTGACACAAGAAGCCGTTTTACAGAGGATTTCACTGCAACAGATGAGAAGACTGGGTTGATATTTTGGTGCAGAAAATTTTGAATTGGGGGAAAAAAAATAACCACTTGGGAAGCAGTCTCTGTAAGAAGCAGGAAACCATTCTCCAGAGTAACTGGCAAGAACCGTCTGTCGCAGTGAATATAATTTAATTTCTCTGTGACTGAATAGCAAAGGAAAAAAAAAAAAAAAAGAACACAAAAACCCACAAAACCCTAATGTTTCCTACCCAGAACTGCACAAGGGTTGGCCAAAAAGTAACTGGAGACCCAGGCTGGGCATCCAGTTATAAATCAAGCGGGGATGACTCTTGAGCTAGCATCATACACCTTTGCCCACCTTCACCCCCACCACTGTCACCAGCTCGGTCGTAACAGCATTTTTTTTTACCTTCCAATGTCTCATCACCATCTGAAATCAACTCATCATCGGAGCATATGTTGAGGATGTTAACGAGCATTTCTGTGACTGTAAGAAGCACAGACAGGAAGATTAGAGAGGCCTGGTGCACATGCTTCGCAGACAGAGGTATTTGGAGGACGAGCTGGACAAGTGAACGATTTCAAGGTCATTTTATACTCTGAAAGTGGAAGCCCAAAGACACTTTTAGCTGCATACTGCTGGTACCTCGCAGCAGTACCCAGAGCAGACGACATACTTTACACCTTCTGCCAAGGAGGTGGATGCAATCCAAGCACATCACAGATGAGAGAGAGGTGGGGAGCGGGGTGCCAACATTCATGCAGAACAGCCTGGGCTCGCCGAAGGTCCCACCTCCCCACCTCGACCCGCACAACAGGCCACCTGGCTCCAAGAATGTCAAATCTGGGGGGAATTCAACCTTTGGTTCCTCAAAGTCAGAAAAACGCCAACCAAACCTTTGGCACTTCAGACCTTGAAGCCATGCTCCAAACATACAGCACTGGGGTGGAATTTAAACTCGCCGGCAGACGTAAAAAACCCTTTTGCTGAAAAGCTGAGGCAAAGTCTTGGTCATATTTTAAGCTGCCTCGCCTACTTCAGAATGAAATAAGCCTTGAAATCGAAGTGAATGTTTCCTTTTTGGTGGGCCGCAAGCCAACAGGAGATTTTAATTTCTCTGTTGCAAACCCAGAGCAAGAGAAATGTCTCTGAATTCTGAGGTAGGGCTACACCATCCAAGATCAGCTCCATCAGCAATGCAGAAACAGCAAGAAAGGATCATCTTATTGGTAACAGCTTTCTAAAACAGGTATCAACAATTATTTTCACAAGAACTTTACCCAGCAACATGCAGATCTCCTTGAACCTGAGCAGCTTTCCAGTGCTAACAGTATTAAGGAGTTACAACACCCTCCCAACCCATTTAATAGCCTGTGGGACAGGTTTCTAACACTCAGCGTACTATGACGGGTCCCTGGGCAGCTCATAACAGAAATCGAAGTATCTCTTACCCTTTTCCCCTACAAAAGGCAAAGACCATGTGAAGACATCCATGAAGTTTGGAAGCCAGTACGGATGAGGGGAACAGTTGAACTGCCTGATGTTCATGACATTGTTTTCGTATTTCAGTACCGCAGCTAGGAGAGAAAAAGGAAAGACAACGCATGTTCATAGGCACTGTCAGCTTCTCGGAGTTGTACCTGCGCTAATGAAACTTCCTTATCAACAATTCATGCAGAATCAAATGACCAGCTCTCCAAAAGGAGAAGGCTTAAGCAATACCTTTTTTTTTCCCCCCCAGTTTACCCATTACATTGTTTCACTAAAGCTTATCACAACTGTGAAGGTCAACTGAACAAAGCTGTTAAAATTTATGCAAATCAGAAGGGATGAACACAGAGCCAACATCCAAAGTGAGGGGTAAAAAAAACCCCACAGTTGAGGCAAGTTCCCTATCACACCCATGGTTTTAGGGGCCCAGGGAAGTTAAAAGCTTGCCTATACTAGCAGCTTCTCTTTTATGGCAGCATTCATCAATAGTGCTCAGTTGTCATTTGGCTGGAAATGAAAGCATTATTCTGGGCTTTATAACTTGACAGCTAATTGCCACAGTAATACATTAAGTCTCCGACTCAGAGAACACAGCCACTTCCAGCTCCCCAGCTGCCGTCAGTTTAACATAGAAAGCTCTTTTTCATTTCACGCATAAGAATGCAACTAGAGGAAGGGCAGAGTGGGCAAGGCAAGCAAAGACGGAGAGGGATTTCCTAAGCGCGTGAGGACAGTACTGACATCCGAACAGCAGCAGAGCCTTGGCCTTGCCAGACTTACCCTTGTTGTTATAGACATCTAGGTAATTTGGTGCAGAGAAGATTGTGATTAATGAGGGAAAGCCTGTTGTCTGGCTCTTCCTGTACATTCGGTACCTGAAAAAAAACAGGTTGAACGCTAAACATACCAGCCTTGCTAAGGATAGCACGAACGCAGACGGAGCCTGCTCAGCTACCAGGCTGCAGCACTTACCCAGCATCCTGGGCTTCGTGAGCTCGGATTACAGATAACAAACTATTGTTCTGCAAAAATTCACAAACTGCAGGATAACTGGAAAACAAAAAGCAAGTAGACATTAGCATGTAGCACAGGAGAAGAGACAGCACCCACGGTCTTGGTTTCAGGAACCAGCCACTTGCAGCATCCATTCGAGTTGTGACCAGCATCCCCAAATAAGGCCAATATGTATTACATCACTCAAAAATCAATTGCAAAGCATTCTGTTAAACAGATCCTTGGTGCCAAATCCTGCCTATCAGCTGGGCTACGAGTGGTCTGTCAGCACAAATGCTTCTCTCTCTTTTAGACAGGAAAAGATTATTTCCTAGATCCCCTGGTACTCTCCAATGCCTGAAAACCACTCGAAAGGCACCCTCCCAGCTAAAAGTAGCACCTCTTTCTTGTCCAATACCACAATTTCATAGAGCAACATACTCAAAGAGAGTTCAACATTACAGGAGGAGAAAACAGACAAGATTTTGCGTGTTAGAGCCAACTGAAGACTATTCCAGAGCCAAGTACACTGTAAAGGCCCAGAGAGTGATCTGAATAGCAATTTAGCTCCCTACACACCTTAGCGTAAGGGGAGACAAAAAGCTCTAGTCCATCAGAGCCCCCTTAAAACACCACTTACCTGTAGAAATAGGAGCAGCCTCGAACGGTGTTGTGGGCGAAATGCTCCAGCGTTTTCTCATTGCCGTAATCCTCTGATGGATCGGACCAGAGCAGGTCACACATTGGACCAAAGGCTGGAGGCTCCTTAAACCTGTCTAACTGAAAATCATGCACAAAATCAGGACAACGCTGGTGAAAGCTGCGGCAGCGTACGCACACCTATGGTGTGGACGTGCAGAGCACGGGAGCCTCGACCTGGAACTCCATGCAGGAATCAAGCAAGCCATTAACCACACTACTAATTGTAAGCGATGCGAAAGGACCACGGAGATTACTTACTTTCCTAATGTCATCTAGACATGTGATTTCTGGAGACAGTCCTCCATGAACACACAGAAACTGCTGGTTTAAGAGGGCAGCAAGAGGAAGACAGTCAAATGTATCCATGCACGCATCATACACTCGCTCCGAATACTTGATTCGACCTGGAAAGATGAGGGGCAGGGAGAGGAAGAGAGGAAAGAACTGAATTCATTTACTCATTTACACAACAAAGACTGCTCAGGCTGAAAGCAGAGCTTTACTTTTTTTAAAAAAAAATATTATTTTTTTTTAAAAGGGGGAGTCATTTGTGCATCCAAACCTACACGATATATGAAGCGTTAAGCAAAGCTTTGATCAGCCAAAGTGCTGATAAATAAGTTCACGGAACCTAACTCCTAAGGTGATAGGGAAACTCTATGTCTATGGCCCACCGAGTCGAACTCTGCATCCATGTATTAGTGAGAATGCTGGCTTAGAAAATGCTCGTTGGACATGAAGATAAAGAGGCTTCGAAGTAATCTGGACATGGTCAAGAACATTCATCTCCCTTCAAGCTACTTTCTAGAACACCTGCGCTAAGGTTAACATAGAAAAGAAGCTAGGTGCTTGTCACTGTAACAGAAAACTCGGGATACTACTAAAGCTGTCCCATCACTTTCCCACGTTCATACTGCACCTCCAGACTCCAAGAGTCTTACCAGCCTCGGCTGCTAGGCAGATTTATACACTGGGAAATGCAGCAGCTGTTTAATTTGGCACAGCTATACTACACAATCATTTAAGATAGGAGTTGCCTTTTCAGCTGGACACGAGTGCTTTGAGTCAGAATTTGACCAAGATGCCTGCAGTTAAATGAATCTTCGTACAGGATCTTTCAGGGCTACGAGCGATCACAATCTCCGCTGGATGCCTCATCTTAACAGAGGTGAAGAGGATGTTTTGATACATTAAACAGAGATGCCATGGCCTTTCCAAAAGCAGTTTGGCTTTTGCAGCAAGCCTCCAAGTATGTTCAGAAATATCTCTCAACACTTCCCGTTAGAGCAGAGAGCAGGAGCAGAGATCACCACACGCCAAGCACATGTCTTCTTGCATCTGCAGCCCCTTCGTGGGGCAGCAATACGTTAACAGAGCCTGATCTTCAAGAAAGCCCCGCCACTGCTACAAAACCCATCTCTATCTAAAGCAAAAAAAGTGCAGGAATGGAAAGTTTACCTTTCCTCCAGCTTTTTCAGAGATACTAACAGGTTTTTTCAGCTGCATGCTATGATACAGGAAGTGGAAAGGCAGTTTCTTCTGTTTTCCAAAAGGGAAAAAAAAATCCCATCACCTTTGGCTTTCCGGTTCAAATTAAGCCCAGCTCAACAGGAGCTCATCTACCACCATCTGATGACTATGGTATCCAGCAGAGAGCTGGCTTGTGTTTTCCAACTCGTTTCTGAGTAAACAGATGTCACTGTCTCCGTACCTATCAGTCTTACCCTGTCCAGCAGCATCCAGAGCTGAAGGGCTAAAGATTGGACTCGTGCCTTGTCCGTAACTATTCCCTGAGGTCGGATCCTTGAGCAACTATTCCCTAACGGAGAGTTGCACATTGCTGGTGTGCACCTTTTTTATTGCTTGGAGGAATGACCGTCATCCTCAGGGGAGAGGGGTCATTCCCTGACCTTTCATCATCGTTGGTTTAAAGAAATATGTAAATGCTGCATGAAACTAACTCAACTCAAGTGATCTTAAAGGTAATGATTCTCCCTAGCGCAAACACTGTGGAACAAATCCTTTATTTGCTTCCAATTGTAATCACTGATCCCAGCTGCACAATCTGGAGCTGAAAGTCATTTGGCAGTAATTATATGTTGCTGGGCCTGAAAGTCGGAGTGAGGGGGGGTGCTCGCAACTGGCTCATCAGCGAGACAGGGAAGATGTGTTCGCATTTCTTCCATCCACGCTCATTCTTTGCAACCAGACGGCCACATCTACACGCACTCAGTACTTTACGGGACTTAGATATTTGGCTTTCTTCCCTTTTACCAGGAGCTGAAAGAGGAGAAGAGCTACGTATGCAGGAAAAAAAAAAAAAAGATGACAGGTCTTTACAGCTCCAGAGCTAACCGACACCACTCATAGCAGGCACAAAAGTTAAGATCCACACCTGGTCACAACACGTTAATACATTTAAATCCTCCTTACACTGCTGATACTTACATTCCTGCGTAAAGGTGAAGTATTCTGTGAGGTGCCTGCACTCATGGTTCCCTCGAAGGAGGAACAATGTTTTGGGATGATTTATCTTTAAACTCCATAAATACAGCACGCACTGCAAGAAAGGGAAGGAGGAGATGGCATGTAATAAAAACCTTTTATAGGGCACTAATCATCCGTCGACTTCACTAAGTGTTTCTGGGAAGACACCCAACAAGCTGAATTCAAAGTGGAACCCTGATAGAAACCCAGCTCCATAATCGGCAGTAGATCTTATCTTGGCCAACTTCACCAGTGGGGGAAAGCCACACTGAGCATTTCTCTATATTAGGCCTGAGTTGGAGAAGTGACAAACGAGATCGCGTTCAACTGAAACCGGCTCCGGGCTGGGTGGGGGCAGCTTTTCCTTCCAGCAGAAACCAAAGCGAAAAGCACCCATTTTCAGAGCAGCAAAGCAAAACCAGCTGCGCAGCGAGACGTGCGCTCCAGATGTCCCACTGCAATCGAAACCAGAGACCAGCAAGTAGAGCAGCCAGCCATCTTGCGAGACATTTTATCAAGTGCATTAAACATTAGAAAAATTACACTTGATCCTCCCCGCTCTGTTTTCCTGCTTACGCTACAGTCATGTGAAGTTCAAGTTGAAAACAGGAAAAGCCTAGCCAAAAAACAAGCTTAGTAAAGCCTTCTGGCTTTGAAGAGGGCTTTCCACATCCCTTATCTGAGCGGCAACACCTGTAAAAAGATCACCTTTGATGAGGTGCAGACCAAAGTCAAACCGAAACAATCATTTTTACCGGAGTCCCAGCAATATTTCATGGTGGCTTTCCAAAAAAGCCTATGTGAAGAAGGGAAGGGCTGGAAAGCAAGCGTGCTTACCCTTCTGTGCTATACGTTGTCAAGCTGACAGCTAAATCAGCCGGTATCTAGCATGGGGAAACGTTATCTCATTTCCCTTGCTGATTCTGAGTGCTGGAAGGACAACCCGTAACGACAGCACGCTTGAAGATCTGGATTCAAGTCTCTAATAAGAGCTTACTCTTTAGGCTGACATGCTACAGAAACGACACACACTTTGAGAACGCGAACCATGATGTGTGTCAACAGTTTTAACACTTAAAAACACAGCTGATCTGGTGCACAGATCTCCGGGAACTGGCTGCTGTGGCACGGAAACAACCTCCAGAACCAAAATAAACCAGTTTCAAGTTCGTTTCCAGTAGAGACACCTCAGATATCGTGGTATTCAAACACTGAACCTGCAAGGCAAGCTCTACATCAGTCATTCCAGCTACACGCAGGGGTGCCAAAAAACCCCAAGTTGCTGTAAAGCACCCGTCTGTGTCTAACTTGGAATTCAACCCCACAGAAAAAGACTGGATAGCAAATCCTGAATTTTAGAATTGAACAGAAACAGGGCCAGTGGCAGGCAATTTAAGCTGTGGCTAAGGCTAGCAAAAAATAATGTTTTATTGCATCTGTTAACAGGAGGAATGTTCTCAACAAAACCATTTACAATTATTGTGTGATTTAAAGCTTTAACCTCCTGTGTTTGCAATCTAAACGTGGGCTAGCATGAGAACTAAAAAGTGAAAGTCACTACAAATGAACCAAACGACTTGCAAAGGACTGGAGAAAGCAACCAGCCCTGGCATCGCTGGTTTAAAGCAAAGCAAGAAAGCGGAGAGGCACCATCACAGTAAAGAGGAGGATTTGGGCTGTACAGAAGGTCAGCAACTTGGATAAAAGAGATTTAAAAACACATAATGAAGTGAACAGAGTCACTCGGCACCACAATTCTTCCTGGACATGCAGCAAGCAAAGCAGGGACGTCGAGGGCAAACATCTCCGGCGTGGCTGCAGTTCCCCGCGGTTTGTAGCTGTTTCACAAGGACGTGGGGGCTGCCAGGTACTGGGGAGGGTAACAACGAGTAAAGGACATTCAAGAGCCCTCGTGAGCTCCGGAGGGGCTGGAACAAGGAACAAGGGAGGTTTCTACACTCACATACCTCGTTTTGTATGAATCCCTTTCCCAGACTTTCAAGGCACTGTGCCCAGGAATTGATTACTGCGTGTTTACAATAGCCTAGCAGCAACTTGAGACAATTAGGGCTTACTAGGTCTAAATAATCTACTTCTCTCCTTCTTCTGCCTGTCAGCGTGAAGCCCAAAGCCAAGTGTTTGGGTCCGTGCCCCCATTTGATTCCCCTCTTTTCATTCACGGTGGGGAAATTGCAAGAGGAATTGCTACCTGCGACCCAACACAAATGCACGAGGGGCTGCTGCCAAACCTGCCCGTAACAAACCACATGGAATCTCTCGTACCATTTACAAAACCCGGCGTTTACGAGAAACGTATAAACATCGAGCCTGCCAGCTCTTCCCGGAGTAGGCACAGAAGAAACGGCACGGCAAAACTCCTGCATCCCGGTCCCATGAATCTACTTTCGCTCACGCCTTACAACATTGACTGGATCCCTTTAGTATTATTCTGGATAGAACAGTGCATTCAATCCTGGTCAGATTACCGTACATACAATTCCGTAATTAGATGGCAATCATGTGTCCCATGTAATCGGATTTGGAAAACCAGTCTGGCAAAGGTGTATGCCATTATCATGCCATTTTTACTGATCAATCTACTCTTTCCATAGATTCTATTTTTGGTCATAATAATTGTTTCACTTTATAATTTAATAAAACAATTCTATTCTTTGTATTCCGGCAGTTCTGGCTTCATGCACCAGGATGGTCCCTCCCTGACTAACACTGGCACAGACCTCTCTTGCCCAAGGGCAAGGAGATGTCACTAAACGCTTAAAGCACTTTGAAGGAAGCATCTTTCCGACTTGCAGACCAACGAGAGAATCCTTCATCAGGCTGCCGTCTCATCAGCCTCTCCAAATGGAGGTGTTCAGCCCCATTTCCATGCTGCCCGTCAGCCCCTTCACTGCAACGTTTGAGCCCGTGGCCAAGTCTCGCCGTCGTAGCGGGCTTTGTGGCACGCACTGAAAGCGAATGCTTTGCAGAGTCCTCTTCCACTAGACAGCAGCCGTCTCAGCTTTCACACGGTTGCTTCCTTCCCCTCTCCCCCCCCAACACTTTTCTTCAAAAAAGAAAAAACCCACCAAAAAAACCCAAAAAACACAACCAAACCACGCTTCACAGCCTCATTATACTTACTGGGAATGAATGTTTTTAAATGAGAATTTCCCTAAGCCAGAGGCCCAGAAATAATTTGTTGAAGACATCCAGCTGAGCTGATGAACAGAGGCTTTCAGGGTATTTAAAGGTCTTCTCTGAGCCACAAACTGCTCCTTTTACCTTGACAACCAAATACTGGCAGCAATGGGGAAAGCTTGCAAGGGTTCTTTGGGCTGCCAACAAGCGACCCGGTTTGTCTTAGCACCTCCTTGGCCCCTCAGTTTTGCATCTTGTTTCCTGACTGCCTGCATCAGGATGCAATTATACAATTACCTCCTCTTTCATTCAGTTAAAAGGTCATGATTATCAGCTGCTCTGGGCAGGCACTTCATGATATCCTCGCCCAGCACATGGATGCACAAGTTTGTGTGGGGATTCATGAAAGCCTGATGATGCCGGTGCTTCTCCACCTTCCCAGTGGGGAAACCTGGATGCTTTTCCATCACCTGAGCCTCTGGGACAAAGCAATCAAAACTCCAAACCCAAAAACGTTCACAGATTAGCCACCTCTGCACTTCAGAGGCCAGCTGCGATAGCTTTGCATTTTATAGTAGTCTTTAAAAAAACATAACAATGCAAAGATGCTCAATTGGCACCGTTAACTCTTTGCGTGCAGCGATCCTCCATGCCAGCACCAAACCTGTTATTTCACTACAGAAACCAGTTTCTGCACACCCAGGTGGGAATCTCTTAAAGCACATCGGCTGCACTTTGCAGTAGGTGGAAAGAAGAGGCACACATCAATAGGAACAAGAGAATCAAGCCTTCTAGATTCTGCTTTATCAGTGACATTTGGATCAGCCCCCGCATGTACTAATCAAAGCCCACCCCGATTCGTGAAAGATCAATGCTAGCTCTGTGGGGTAATGGAGCGCTTGGTGGCTTTCCCTTTGCAGATGTGGGGGGAAAGGGGAAGGAGGAGAGTCAAGAGAAGCATGAAATAAAAACTTTCTGCGCAGAGCTTATGAAAACCAACTGCCCCAAGGCTCTCCGGCCCAAAAACACCGGGCTGCCTGGCACAGGCCCTGGGTCAGAGCGTCAAGCCACAAACAAGAGACCTGATGAGGTTTACTTACAATTTTCAGACCTTCCTCCTCAAAAAAAAAACCCCAAAAAATCAACAAAAAAGCCTCTTCCCACCACTTCTGCTCTCCAAAGGTGGACTCCTCATCCATCCCCCTGGAATTCTTCCATACTATCACAGGATAGAGAGATGAGGGCACCCATCCCCAACTCGGGCACTCACTTCTGCAGATCTGGGAGTAAAATCTCCCTGTCAGATCAATCACAGGGTAAGAGCAGAGAGTGGGGGAAGCACTTTGCCACCCAGGATCTAGAAAATCCACGCATAGACACAGGGTACAACAACCCTTGTTTGAAGGTTTCTTGGTTAACACCAAAAAAAACCAAACCCCCGAATCCACATTTTATCTCAGAAAGAGTTGCTGTGCTATAATATAACCTCTTTTCCAGGTAAATACGCTTAAATTGCAAACCCAATTTGCACAAGACAAGCCTTTTAAACAAGTGGTCAAATGTCTGTTCTTCCTCTTCCTCCCCAGGGGTTACAGGGCTCCTCCTGCCAGCACCAGCAGAAATCCCAACAGCCGCAACTCCACCTTTCGAGCATCCGTCCCCGCTACGTCAGAAACTGCTCATCGTCACACCTTGGCTCACCATCAGTATTTAGGAACACACGAAGCGCAAGGCTGGAAGTAAGCCAGGACACTGCTAAAGCACAAGCTGTCGGCAGTACCCTCCCCTAAATCCTCTGCAGAATCCTTCAAAGAAAGACTTGCAGTACCCGCCTTCATCGCTGTCCGTGAGAGTTCCTCCCCAAAATTTAACTGAGAAAGACTCCTCCGCAGACCCAACAGCTCAGCTATTCCTACACTGTGGTATGCACCCTCCCTCTTCAAAGAGAAACCACTTACTCTGTCATTCCAGGCCAATTTTGTCACCTTTCATGCCTCCGTTTCCTCAAATGCCCCCCGTTACACCGCCTTAAACTGGAACAAGCGCTCCTTTTCCACTCGGCTCTGCCTCTGTGAAACTAGAAGGTTGCAATCCCTTGGGGTTTGCGGTATTTGCTAATAGCTCTCCCATCCTGCCTGCTCTGTCGCTCAAAGGTCTTCAGCGAGCCAGCAGCAGCCTCGGGGACCCATCGATCGGTTATTTCGCCCTTTAAGACCAACAACTGGCAGTGTTACCCAATACTCGGCTGGTGGTATCCCACAGAGCTGCAAAATCCTAACAGGACGCCAGATGTTCGGCCGACGTCTGTAAGGTGACAGCGTTATTGTGACAAGGCAGATTGTCACACGGGCACAGCATGGCTAGATACAGAATTAAATGCCTCGACACTAAGCTCGTGGGTCACAGCGAGATGTACAACAGCCCAGGTGATTTATTGCTGCTTTCTCCCGACCCTGTCTCCGGCATTGCAAGGCTGATGCTTTCAGGGGGACGGCAGGGAAGCGGTGACTCAGTAGTGTTGCGCTTTCTTTTCCCCGCTAAGCCGACTCCTGCAAGTTTTTAAACATTTGCTTCCCACTGCCTGGTAGGATCCTGTTGCCTGCAACATACAATCAACTCTCCCTCTTGTTTCGCTGACTGACAGCTACAAGTGATATTAAAACTCGAGTTCAGAAGCCAGCGTTTAGCCATTAACCCCACCGCTGCTGTTTAACTCTGTCACTCTGTCCAATTCTCAATTGTGACATTTGGACATCGCTTTTCTGCCAAAAATCGTACTGTGAGTTACCTACAATATGATTTTCACTCCACGCAAAACTCGACTAGAGTGTAAAATCCAGCATAAGAGATCTGTATTTGCTAGCTTAGTTCAACACCTTCAGTTAGTTTAGTACTAGCACCCCCAGGCTCAACTTTATTTGTCACCTCTATACTGAAGTAGCCTCTGTCCACGTAGTCTCCCAGGAAGAGGTAGCGGGTGTTATTGGGTGATCCTCCAACTTCAAACAACTTCATCAGGTCAAAAAACTGCCCATGAATGTCACCGCACACTAGGGGAGGAAGAACAGCACAAAAGAGGGACAGAATTACATGCTAAGAAAAGAAAGGTCATGACAGCAACAAGGAGCATAGCATGGCTGTGCTCTGACCCAAGCCACCCCTGCTTTACATCCAGCTTCTGCAAAGGTGTACCCGATCCACACCAGCAAAATCCTCTCTTCTGAGAGCTCAGGCAATTAAAAAAAACCTTGCTGATGGAAGGAACACAGCAGAAAACCTGCTACGTTGAGCAGCTCCTGTTTCCTAGATGGCCCTTATTTAGGACTCCATCTGCAGAAAGCTCTCTGACCTGTGATCGGAGCCTCCACTTCAATCATCGTCTTCTCATGCCTAAGGATGGCAGCCCCATCGTTGATGATCTTCAGCGCCGCATCCTCTTCCAGGCGCCCTTCCTTTACCAAGTGGCTCTTCAAGACGTCAAGCCTAGGCTTCCCATCCTCAAACACCTCCTTCAGAGTGAGCCGCTGCGTGGGAGGAAATGGGACAGCTGGAAATGGAAGTGAAGAAGTTAGCAACACGTCTCTGTTGGGGAGGAAAAGAATTACAGTCTTTTCATCAGGAGGCTTTCGTTCCAAGCCTCGAGACGAGCATAGACTCAGAAACATACTTTCACTGAAATTATGCTCTCAAATACGGAAAGAAGAAAAGCTATGCTGCCAGAGCAACTGAATACATCCCTCAGCATGTTTAAAAAGCCACCGTATGCAGACTAAATGCCATATGCATCCGCAGAAAACACGAGCACCAAATCTGTCTCCTAATTCGGTGGGGACAGTTGTCATCGTTATGTTGCACGAAAACAGGACTGCATGCAAATATCAGCAAAAGCAGGAGAAAAAACACACCAGTTCCCAGGAACTAGCAATTCAGGTAGGAGGACCAAGATGTAAAATTCTCGCTTGTCAGGAGACGGCACATACCCCTGCAAAGCAGAAGCTGCCTTTACCAGGTAACAGCCTCGCACCTCTCAGTACCGGCCACTTCAAAAAAGCTTAACCCCAAGCTTAGTAATTGATAAATCCTGATGGAATCCAACACTCACAGCAAGTTACAGCCTCACCTATTTGCAACACGTTCCCTGGTTTTTAACTTGAGGTAGAAAAACACATCCCATCAAAAGCCATTATTATTATTTTCATGCTAGGCAATTGTACTATTTGCGAGAAGGTGACCTCTGGCAGAAAGGAAGCATATGAAACAAAAATCGTAGTTATAAACGAGAACCATCTGACTTCCTCATCTGCCTTCTCCTGGGTCTGGCTAATTTAAAAAAGAAAAAGATGGAGAGCACATGACCTCTGCATAATATTTAACGGCTATATAGCATCTTGATTTAAAATAAATTCCAGGAGGGAGGCCTGGATGTTTAGGAAAAGAGAAAAACTGGAAGTAAAATCCTGTCAAATAGCCCCAAACGTGTGGCCCAGCTGCCGGCAGCTCCCGCGCACCACAGAGCAATTTGCATCTTATCGCAGGGACGAGATCATCTCAGGTCCTGGAGTCCCTTTCCTTCTCAAAACATCTGGAATAACCAGCATCTCCTCAACCCTCTGGGTTCAGCCCTTTCAACGCCTCCTGGTCACAGTAGGACCAAAAACCATTACGACCAAGCCCTGCTGAGGGAGCGATCCTGCAGCGTGGATGAGGACGAGATGCTGGGATGGGTTTTGCTGTGGGGTGCTCCCTGGGGTGCACAGCAGCGTGCAGAGCCCCCAAAAAAGCCTCTTACCCCATCGTGGCTACCGCAGGGAGCTGCTGCTCACCCTCCCAGCCTTGGGGACACGGCACAACTCTGCAAAAGGTCTTGGAAGCACCACTGTCCGTAAGATCGCAGGCAGCTGGACAGATCTTTGCTCGTCATCCCCCAGACTACCCCAAAATCTGGAAGGCAAACGGGTCTTTTAGAGCCATTTTAATGATCGCGGTGCCAGGCTGCTCCCGAGCAACCAGTACCGCGTGTAACGAAACCCACTCGCTAGATAATGTACCCTGGCTTCCACATCTTCCGCTTCTGATGCGATCATGTCAGGTGGTGAAAGACAGATTTGCACTTCTCTGTAATCCAGCTAGAGAAGAAAAATATCAGATATGGAAATGAAGTTGATGTTCTTACCCATCACCCAGTAAAGACATCCCCTATGCCAAAGTATGTCGAATTTAACAGGCAAAGTGATAGCGCTGGTCAAATAATACAGTGACTAACAGTAATGCAACCGATCTCTTTTAAATGCAAATAGAGCAGCTATTTAGCTCGGAAACCCAGGGGGCAGAGAGAAAAAGCAGAGAGGCAGCACAAGAGATTCTTTGCAGCTGAACATCAATTTTCAAATAACGTGAAATGTAGGACAGAGGAGAACAAGAGCGGATATAATGAAAGGGGAGCCGGTGCCTGCAATAAGGTGGCCCTCTTTCATCGGCCGCTTTGGAAGTTTTGCTCTGCTGGGTACTCGCTAAGTGCCCTGAACGGTCCAGAGCACACGCAGTGCTTTCCCCACGGAGCTGCCAATTAAAGAGGTTTAAGTAAGACCCCTGCTTATACCAACGCAGGCTGGACAACATTTTTTTTACTGCATATATAGCTCATCTCTACAGCCAAAAGGAAAAAAAAAAACAACACAAGTAAAAATGACCCCTCTGGTTACCGATGAAAAACTCACCATTTTGTAGAATTTGATGTATTTTTTTCCCCCCTCCTGTACTCTCTGGGTCGGTGTAAGGACGGCAGCAGGAGGAGGCAGAGGGATGCTGCAGGTCTGACACAAATAGATTCAGCTGGAACAAGGGAGGCCAAAAGGAGCTGGGTGGAAATGCGGGCACGGGACTCGGAGCGAGGGGCAAAGGGAGGCTTTGGGACTCACTGCCCTTAACAACTCTATGATTAAGTGACTGGAAAATGATTTGTAAGTACTTCTACAAACTGGGCAGTTGTCCTAGCATCTGCCATCTGACTCCAAAGGAAGCGAGAGAGCACTTGAAGGTCAAACGATTTATAAAGAAGAGAACAGACAAACAGGAACTGTTCAGCTCCATATTCCCCATCGTTCCAGGCCTTCAAGCATGGCCACCGACTCCGGAGCCACCCTAACAAAGTAAAAAACCCGCAGAAGTTGGGACAGAGAGCTTAATGGAGATGGCATGTGACCACAGGAGCAGCACTGCCCGTCACCCAACTCAGAAGAGATCCACGAAAAGCTCCTGGCATGGTCTGCTTTGCCTTTTCTTGGTAGCCCTAGCGAGCAGAGTTATGCAAGATAAAATATGAAGCTACGCCGATGTGAGCAGCCAAGAACTTTTATGTAAGTTCCCTCGCTGGCTTTGCACGGCTCCACTCCCACAAGGAGCTGGGCATGATAAGGAACCAGCTTCTCCTCTGCTGTGCCTGTCTGCCAGCCAAGCTGCAGCCAGCATGGAGTGCGGGGAGAAAAACCTGCTCCAGAGATGCCAGAGACACCGGCATCATCCTGGGGATGCACACAGGCAGCGAAGACCTCCCGCTAGGCAAGGGATTACTCCACATCGCCTGTTTTCTACTTGCTATGCTCCCTGCTAACTCACCCCCCCCAAAAATCCTCAATTTCCCGAGCCGGTTGCACAGCGCTGGAGCAGACCCTCGTGCCGTGGCGTGGCCAGAGCCGTCGAGGACTTCAAAAGCTTCGTGGGGGCTGCGCGAAAAAATCCTCCACGCACCAGAGAGTCACGAGAAGCATGCACTGGAGCCCGAGCGCTGGGAAAACCAAAACCCAGCGATGCCCCTTTCCCCCGTGCAGCAGGGGATGAGGACCTGAATAATTAGTGTTGTCAAACCTGTTAGCCCGTATAACTTGTGTAAGGGCTTTAGTCGACTCCATGCAAGCCGTTATCTGACGCACAAATATCCACTTTTTTAAAGATCTGAATTTTATCCTTATTCAAGGTCGATGCTGTTGGAGTGACCAGCACAGCAGGAGTGTGCGGAGGAAGGGGGCTCCTCCTGCAGCCGACCTGGGCTCACAGACAGCGGGACCAGCATTGGCACGGCCGTCGGAGCAAAAGCTGACCTGAAATCTCGCATCTCCAGGGCACTGAGAAGGGTGGAAGAGTCTTGCCCACTTCCCGCTCCTATCTGCAAAATGGGGAAATAACTCCTTATCTCACAAAAACCCCACTGTGGCTAGTCACAGGGTGACCAAGCAGCGTAAAGATACAGCGTGCTAAGCTCGTCCTCAGAGCCAGCTCCTTCCGTGCACTGCCCGCAAACAATAATTAACGAAAACAACGGATAAAACATTCACAACGTGGCGAGCAGCAAATGCTGAAATCTTCGTGCCATCTTCCCTTCGTATGCAAAACCATGTGTTGCACCCAGTCTAGTTTAAATAATGAAATCTTTAGGTCTGGGACTTACAATTTTGCAAGGGCATCAAAACACACTCTGTAGATTGCTCCCGAGAAAATACACTACAACTCCTGCTCTACAAACAGGACATACACTGCACGCCAAACCACAAACAAAAGGACATAAATGCAAGCAAACTTCTGAGGTGTAAAATGGATTAAAAAGTCAGCTGTGCTCAAGGGACTTCAGGAAAATTAATAGGATACGGATATCTTTGCTAGACTATGGTGTGAGACTCCATTTGCTGCAAAATTAACACAGGTTTTATTTGGCAGTCCAGGAGCAAGCGGGTATTCGCAGCGCTCCGAGAGGATATGGATAGTTAAGGGTGGGAGAATTTTGACAAAAAGCTGCTGCTCTACCACCAGCTCTACAAAAGCAGAGCATCACAGCCCATTCATTTGCTCCTCGGTGCAAAAAGACTATATTCCTCCAGGAGAAAAGCACATCTTGCATTTTTACATCCATACTTAAGCTGTGCCCCTATAAAGCTTCGTCAGGGCTCTTCCAGCAGGGATTGGGTCGGACCATGTCATCCATCGTGCATCTTTGTAAGAGAACGGTTAAAACAAAGCAAAGATCCTCTTTTCCCAGGACTGGAGGCAGCAGCAGCAGACAGCGCAGGGCTGACCGATCCACATCTCCAGAAAAAGTCAGTACCATGGAAGAGAAAACGAAGTGATCCTCAAATTATTGTTTATATATCCGAGAGTCCCTTGGATGACTGTACAAAGCAACAAAGCGAGATTCATTACTGAAAAAGGAGCAAGTGCTATTTGCCTGAAGTGGCAGCTACAGCAAAACTCAGTTTGTTGCCTGAGTGGTTGGGTCTCTAACGAAGCGGAGGTGTCCTCTCACACTGGGGCGTGTGGGGCTTCAAGTCCAAAAAAAAAAAATAAATAAAAAAATCACCCAGGATTAAACATGCTTGGTAAGAAACTTCAGGGAGATTTCTCTGCGACTCCTGACATCCATCTGGGAGTGAATCTGAATGCAACAGCCCCCTTCCCTGCTTGCTCCTCATCAAATGAACGATATTACAAATAGAGAGTTGAACAGATGGTTACAGATGCACTTTGGGGAGAAAAAAAGTACATTTGGGGCATTCTGAAGCAGCCAGTACAGCTCAGACAAAACCAAGCACAAGTAAAAGCTCTCTTTTCTTACGCTCAAACACACGACGTAAGGTACGAACAGCTTCCAACCGCTGCACCCTCTCCACCTGTGCTGGAAGGCATCTGAACTATTTGACTGACGTGCAGCTAAGGGTTTGACGAGCGGGGATGACAGATGTCCATCTGCCACATCGGAGATCCGGCCACCGAGAAAGCTGGACCTGGCTGTCAAAGGTAGAAACGTTCAGAGGGAAAAGTCTGCACGGGAGCCATCCATACCCTCTTTGAAAGGCGGAGAGAAAGCTGCCTCCTGTGTTGAGCCGTGTATAGCATGAGCAGCAGGTCAGGGTTTGGGTGTTTTTTTTTTTTCTTTCCTCCAATTTCCAAATAGCCTAATGTTATTTTTATCAGACATTTCTATTCCCATTCACATCTAACCTACATTCATCTATTCAAAGTTGAGTCCAGGGCTCAAATGGAGCCAGCTCAGAGGCAATAATCGGAAGAAGCAAGGAAAGGCAACAGCAATGTCATTTTGTGCTTGCAGAAAGCTTAAGTTTCAGGATCGTGCCGAGCTTTGACAGTCATTAACGGGGAAGAAATCCTTGACGGCAAGTGATGGATGCCTTCGTTACCTACAGCAACGCTCTTCGCCAACCTGCTTCGGTGCTTCTCTATTAGTGGGGTCCAGACCAAAAGCAAGGATGGGTTGAGCCTCAGCAGCTAGAGTATTGCTGTTAGTCCTAATATTTATTAGCAGCTACCCAATTTTGCACGGAATAATCTTTCTTTTCTTGAAATTACGAACCATACAAATTTCTGGTCACAAAATGCCGAGAAATCTTGGCTTTAAGAATCCCTATGCTGGTTTGCATGACATTTTCCCTCCCCTGGGGTGCCTCAGGGCAAGTTTACACGAGAGTCTGCAAAAACAGATGTACGCTCGATACCAGTTTTTCAAAGCCTGGACCAAGCCCTGGCAAATAATCTGTGTCATTTTTCAGTCTGAAGCAGTGCTGGCACAGGCACCCTGACCTTGCTATGTCCGAGAACTACTGCTTTCTCTACAGGAGCTATGTAGAAACAAAGTGATCACGAAGCGGAGCAATACATAGCCTCCTTCCACCTGAGAAAATAAGTAACTGCTCCCCTTGCCACTGAATTGTGCTAACATAAATAACATTAATATCTCAGAAGAGTCACCAAGTAAAGCAAACACCTTCCTTGCATAAACGCAGCAAGAGCCAGAAATGATTGCTATTGCCATTTCTGTCTGCCCTCCTCCAAACTTTGGCGTGTTCTTTCTAATCTTCTGAGGGCAGCAATTTTCCTTTCTTGCTACCAGTGAGAAACCCCGGGTTTCGGAAGCTCCATAGACTCACAAATGAAGAAAAAAAAGAGTTTTATTTCGCACCCCTGGGAGAGCTGCAGGAGGACCCAGCCCTGCACATAGCTCCTGCGCTGAGCATCAACCAAAACCATCAGACGCCCCGTCCCCGTTAACAGAGAGCATCTGGCACTCAAGACTTTGGGTATCTTTCTCATCCATTTTGTAAGTTTAAATTCCTACTGAATGGCAGCTCCTTCAAATAGAATTAAATGCAGTTCATAACGTCCCAGTTTCATCTGAAACTAGCCAGAGCTATGCTGCTGGAGCTGAAGTCGGCTTCCCAGTGCACAACTGGTTCAGAGAGCTCGCTCTGATCCTTACCTTGAGCCAGATTCCTTTTTGTAGGACAACCAGAATATCTCCTGACAATAACCCTAAAAATATCTGTATTGTACGTTGAATTCTATCAAGCTGAACGATTTCTTCGAAGGGGGAGAGATATAGTCATCATGATACTAGAGTTCAGCGAAACCAAGAAAGGCTAATCAACTGAGCCGTTCCCATCAGCAAATCCATCTTTACCTTAATCAACTACCCTTCAGTCGTTCAAGGAGTAACACCCAAATTTTGAGGCCACATTGACTTTTGGCGACTAGAATCTGGCACACACAGTCTGTGCAGAAGCCAGGTGCATTTAATTCCAAAAAAAGCAAGTGACAGTCCTGTGCATCAAAACGCAAATAAAAACACAACGTGTGCCAAACGAGCATAACCCAGGCCACGCTTAAAGCTCCCACTGACGGGCAGAAATACTAAGTGCAAAGCCAAGAGGCTAGAAAACCATAAAAGCCTCCTAAATTGGAGTCCATCTGTGCATTTCGGAAGTCATACAGCTTCTGAAATCTTATAGCTACCTGAACTGTGCTCATGGATTCCTAAAAACTTTAATCGGGATAGAAGGTAGTTATCCTTAAACTGTTCTGCTGGCAAAACATCTAGCACGGACAGCAAATAGTGTTATCAGGCTAGGAAAAAAAAAAAAAGGTGCCTTTGCCAAAGTAAACCATGGCTACTCAACGAGGGTTCACCAACAGAGCTGTATGCCAAGGTTTGCCGTGGCAGGCAAGCCCAGAGGCAGCTACGATGGCCCCTTGCCGGGCTGCTGACCCACGAGATGGAGCTGGCACTCCGCTCCCTCTCCGTGCTCTTCAAGGAGCCGGGTGAGATTAAAACCAGGAGTATTTAATTAGAACAGAGGCGACTTAAGACTGTCACCGCACATCAGCCGCTCAGCGCTCAGCCAGGAGAGCCGTCCACAAAGCTTTCCCCGCATCAATCGGCTCTTCACGCCGAGGTTCCTGCCTTGCCACCGAAAACGAAGCCGAACCTCAGCCGAGACCCAGATCCACGCCGCGGTGTTAGTCTTGCTCTTCCCAAAGCGCTTCCGAGACCCAGATCCCCGCCGCGGTGTTAGTCTTGCTCTTGCCAAAGCACTCTGCGGCTTGGAAACCAACTCAAAAATGCCCTCAGTGGGCGCTGAGTTTCCTCAGCCTCCTCGGGAGCGATGCAGACATTAAAATCATACTTGCTTGCAAGGTCCGTCAAATTTCCAGCACCCGCATTGCTATGCGTAGGTTCGTCTCTTAATGACCAGCACTGATGCGGATTTGCCCGGGGATTGTCATTGAGACAATCTGTCTAGAGCCAAGTCCTCTGCCGGGGACACGGGCTCCTTACATCACCGAGTGCCAACTCACCAGCTACTGTCAAGGAGAGCATGTAAGCCCTCAATAACAGCCTGGGAAAAAAACCACTTTTGAGATCCTCAAGCTCTACAGGCTTTCCAGCAGTTAAAAATATACGTATTTCTACAAAACCATCACTCGACAGCACACCGACCCACAGCAAACCTGGTGTTTTCCTCTCGAAGTGTCTCTCAGCTGACTCGAGGCGGTCACTGCTAAGCTTGAGTGAAAAAGAAAAGAAAAAAAAAAATAAAAGAAGGGAAAGAAAAAGGCCGAGGTCTAGAGCAAACAGCTGCAGGCTACTTAAAAAATAAGTGAGCTCACCAAAGGAGACGGGAGGGGATTCCTAGATGTCAGCAGGCAGGGAAATTCGCCACCTGTTTCACAAGGTTAGCAAGCTGCCAGCGCGTCCACTAATAGATCATTAATACAAGAACAGCGGGGTCTTTGTGTCAAAGGCAAATCCCCCACCTGCTGGTAAATGTAAATCTGACCCCACCACCGGCAGCGGCAGGGGAGGGGGTGCTGGCTCCAATTTTAAAGCTACTTTTAAGCGGACACCATTTAGCACATTGCGTACTTTCAGGATCTCGCTCGGGACGACGTTGTACGCTGAATCAGCTGCTTCACGTGGGAAACCTTAATAAAATAACCCCCAGAAACACTCACGCTGGAGCCCAAGCGCCATGGTGGAAGCAGGCAGAGCCCAGCCTGCAGGCCCTTGGAGAAGTGACTCTTTCATTGCATCCAGCAAAAGGGGGTCACATCATCGATAAATGAGAATTTGAGTACTTGCAATCACCACTGCAGGAAAAAAAAAAAAAAAAAAAGACCAATTCACACACAATAAGGGTCTCGGTTTCTCTTCTTTTCCCATCTCACGTCTTAATGCTTCAATCTGAGCTGCATTCGCACTGGATCAAACTAGCGCGGGTTAAAACATTTCTTGCAACGCGCTTACTCCAAGGTTTGACATTTATACCCACATATCACCTTATAACCGCACAGAGGTGCAGACGGTCTGAAGGGAGCTGCAAACTAATTAAAATCTTCCCAGTAGCCACGCTGGAGATCAGCCAGAGCAGCTTTCTTGCAAACCAAAGAGTAAGTAGCCCAATAAATGGGCTAAATAAGTTTCAGCGATGCTTTCAGAGCAGCTTCACAAACCTTCACATGCCAGGGATGGAGCTCGATGACAGGAGCCCCCAGTTATCGCTGAGCCAGCAAAAACAGCCCTCTGCGCTTCTGACCAGGGTCTTCCTCCTGGAAACCTTTGTGATAGATATCTGAGACATCACCTTTAGGATAATATTCTCACTGCCGTTTGAGAAGCCATCTTACCACATTCGCTACACCTCAGCAACTGATTAAAGGGAATATTTTCTAGAGCAGGCTAGGGAACTGAAGACTCTTGCCGAGATCACTGTTGACACCCCTTCTGCCCGTTTTCCTGACATTCACCCTGAACCACTTGTTTTATACAGGGGAGATCCTTGCACACTCTCACCAGATCCGGCTGGGAGCAGGGAAAGTGCTTTAAACTCAGGTCTTAGAGCCACCACTATTGCAAAGGTAGTCAGTAAAGGAGGGGAAACAGAAGCCAGGTGATTGATGTAGACTTCTGGAGAGAGAAACCCCACAAGCCCTCTCACGGCGGCATAGCCAGGCTCCGAGCTGGAGGAGGTCGCATTACTCAACACATTCACATCCACCTCTGCTCCTAATGGGAACACAGCGAGATCCTATTAAGGCTTCATAGCTGGAGATGCCGCAGCTGGAGACAGCAGCGAGGTTTTGCTTCGGAGGCTGGAGGTCTGAAGTCGGGAGTGCCAGCCAGATAGTCCAGCACTCCTCTTCCCTGCCAACGAAATCTTTAAAAGCTGCACTGAGATTTCTTTTTCCTACTGCTTTTGAGCACCCTCTGCACACAGGAGCACCTACCCTTCATCCTCCGTCTCACCCCTGGTCCATGCCATCCTAACCAGAGATGCCCTAGGTGCAGAGCTGCTCCCCTCTGCCCCTCCACCAAAGCTCCCTGCCCTGAAGGGTTTTCCCAGTCCACTCGACCTGGCTCTCAACTATCATCAACATATGTCTCTTCAGCACCGCGAGTCTCGCAGACCGGCCTCCAAGAGCCATTCAGAGCCAAGTCGTGCATTATAGGATAATGCTGATGCCTTTACGTAGCCTGTTTCCTCGCTCCCGCTGCTTAATGATGTCTAATTCCATTACCATCCAAGACATTAACACACTGTACATCTAGTAAACACACCCACCATCCCAACGCAATCTGTAGAGGAGCGCAAGGGATCAAACAGGGAACACCTGGAAAACTAGCCAAGCCGGGAAGGATCCTGGACAAATATAGGTCTCCAAGGAGTATCTTTAGATGAGCAGGCAGCTCTGCCCCCACCGAGACCCCAGGATTTACCTAAATAGCTCCCTTCATCACAAGCAGCCCAGCGTTCGTTGCTATTTTAAGCCAGCACCCTGCCCTACTTCCTAAGGAACAGCCTGCCTTTCTCCTGCCCATGCAGCCAAACGAGCACCAAAAGCATTACAGCCAGAGGAGATCAATTCTCTCAACCCTGCCTTCTTTTATTAAATGAAAAACACTATTTCGGCACAGTACCTAGCTAATCGGGGCTCATTTCTTCTAATTGCTACAGAACGGGGCCTTCCAAGCAGCCGGCACAGCCTTGAACGGGGGGGAATGGGATTAACCTTTCACAGGCTGATATCCAGATAGCAGGGAAACAGAAAAAAAACAAACATATGAAACCTGGGGGGATCCAGAGGGACACGACCTTCCTCCTCTCCGTCCTACCTCCAGCACCAATCTGAAACATCTGGTGTTATTCTCGGGAGGAAATAAATAAAAAGACAGCCCAACCTGCTTTCCCTGATGCCTTATCGCAGTTTTCTAAACAGGTTTTAGTAGCCAAGGCTAGCGTTGGGGTTTAGGTTTTGCCACCAGCGGTGGTATTTCTGTTAATGAGCACGGCAGCAGAGCATCTCTGTTACAGGCTGCGGAGAGATCTGCCTCTGGGAAGTTTCATACACAAAAAAAGGGTGTCCCTGGCTCGGTTTGGGGCAGACAAGGGCTACACGAAGCATACTAGAGCTGAACAGCTTGCATTACCATGAGAGGTTTGCAGAAGTGCCGCTTTAGCACTACTGCATTTGACTTCTGATTCATTTTTGGATGAAGTGCCACATGATTTGGCAAAATCAGCACCAATTCTGCAACATTCGGTCTCAGCCCAGCCAGAAACCTGTTCCTTTTCCTAACACATCCTATTTACAAATAACGAAGTATCTTTTCTGCAAGAAAGACCCCCAAAATACCAGGTTCCCAAGCAATTCGGAGAGATCCTACAGGGTTCATGTTTTAAGGGCCATCTACGCTCAGGACCTTCTTGAGCTCTGTCCAGACAAGTTGCTGTATTATGACACGATTTGCTTTTTAGAGATCCCACCACCGCATCTTGACCTTGATGGCATTCGCACTTTTCCTCTGGCACGCCCAAGGTCTGAGAGCATGCACCTTCGCCTTTACCTCCATTTTAAGTCATTTTCGCAGCTCTTTTTTCCCCTCCAAGTATTCCTTATTAGCCACAAAATGGCAAAACTGAACAAGACAAACCAACTAAAGCATTAGAGAAGGCAAACATGAAACAAACAGCAACCACAGCGATGCTACTATTTCCTCTTTTCAACAACCACAATTTCCCATGTATTTTAAGATTTGCCTAAGCCTTCCTTTGCTTTGCATGCATTTACAAAGCTACTTTGACTTTTGTATCGGTGCATGCTCCGTTATAAAAATTCTCTACAGCTCCCAACCTACTGCAACTGGAGAAATCGGAGAAAGCCCAATGCTCAACCATCCAACTGCATTTCAAGAGTAGTAGCTTATATTAAAAAGAAGGTATTTTTTCACGTTTTTTATAAACTGAAAGCATCTTCAGCCAGCAAGATGAACCAGCACACCCTCTGAACCCTATCCACTTGGCAGCAGCGCAGGGGAAGCTCTCCAAAGCCTCTGAAGACGGCAACTATTGATCTGACGTTTTTTGGCTCCCCAGAGGCACAGCCTCTGCTGAAGGTACTGGGAACCTCTCTGAACAAATCCCACGGGATCAGACCCCATGTCTCTAGCAGCATCTCTGCCACGCTACAAAGGAACGCGTTCACTGTGCGGAGAGAAGGGGAGCAGCTCGTTGGGTGTTTTCTGTTCAAGCGTGACTTCACCCGAGCCGAACACGCAGGTGGTATGGGATATCGCTGGGGTAAGCATCCTCAGATTGCCCCGCCATTCCTTCGCTCCCAGAAACCTTAGTTAGGTATTAAACAGATGATCTACAACATACCTGGGAGGTTCACACCACAAACCAGACAGCTGATATGTAAGAGAGCATCATGTCAGGGGTCTTACACCCACCCACACTCTTGAAATGTCTTCCAGCTGGGAAAAAAACCAAACTAGATGTGCAGAAAGATGCCTGAAACAGCCAAAGTGCTTATGAAAGGACAGCAAAGCGGAAACTTGGAAAACCCACTTGTTTAGAGCACACCTTTAGCTAGGTGGTCTCGGCACCGGTCCCAGTTTCACCACCACCACACGGTTCCTCGATATGAACCCACTGATGGTGGCTCAAGTCTTCCATCTATGGAAAAGCAGAAACCTAACAGCACTTTGTAAAACATAGCACTATGGAGCAGGAGGTGAATTTTAGGCACGTCACTGAGTACTGACAAACACATAACGGCTGCCAAAAAGAGGGCACCAGATCCTAGCTGCTCCTCGTTCACCAGCTTTCTAACAGTGCAATGCTTTAATAATACAGACATATAGAAAATCACTCTAGATTATTTGCTCTGCCTCAGCCAGGTGTCTAAATATCAATATCCTGGGTTTTTTTAAAGAATTTTTCATGGATGCAACTGCAAACACAGTAAGCTGGGTTGCCTTTCACCATTCAGCCGCGCTCACGTGTCTTTGGAAAGGATCCTCGCTGCACACAGCTACGCTTACCGCTGCCGTCGCTTCCCAGAGGACATCACACCTTGCAGGCATGATTTGCTGGAGGTGGAACGAAGCAGGATGATTTCTATGCAACAAAAAGCTCTGCAGGTTTGTTTTCATGGGGTCTGGGGGGAAGGCACCCACCACACCCAAGCCCTGAGCTCAAGCATCCAACCTATATGCCTCAGGGG